CCCCCATTTTGTCCACGTTAGATTTCACCGAGACGCTCTGTCGCCTTCCTGAGGCCAGATAAATAAAGCATCAGGTGACCGGGGACACTGCAGCGAGGAATCAAAGTCCCAGTCTGAGGTCAAACTGTTGCTGTTTGACCGACGGCCAGTTGGAAACCTGCTGCTATATACCTTGAGGGGGGGAAAACGCAGCGCGAGTGTGTGCGTGCGTACGTGTGAAAGAGAGAGAGAGAGAGAGAGAGAGAGAGAGAGAGAGAGAGAGAGAGACGGCAGTAGCGGGCACGTCTGCTACTGCGTCTGTCCAGGAAACTCTCTCTCTCTCTCTCTATCTCTCCCTATCACACACTCTCGGGAGCAGCGCTTTGACGCACCACGCAGAGTTGGATTATAGTATTGCGCGCTGGTCTTTCACGGGGCTTTTTTTTCTCCTCCCTCGCGCTGCCTATACCGTTGCCACTGACCGGCTATTGATACATGATCGGATCGATCAACATCTGTCCACCACGTTGACCTCTGCTGAGCTTCTTTTTTTTTTTTTGGTGGTGGGGAAACTAAGCGCCGCTTGCCGATGCCTCCTGTCCGGACGCGTGTTGTGAATTAATAACCAAGACAGCCTCACCTGGAGCGCGCGCGTGTGTGCGCACTAAAGTGTGCGTTTCTCTGGATCGGATCAAGGATCGAGGTGTTTTAACTGGCTTTGGTTCCGCACATATACACCTACACACAAACCGGGGGGATTTGGGCACCGCATGCCGGGGACATGTGGAAGTTTGCCCCGCTTTAGCGCAGCCAAAGAGCCGGTCCGCCGCCTCGTCGACCTCCCCTCTGCCTGCCCAGTGGGGACCAAATTCCCGGTTCACAGCCTTCAGGCATCAAAACCTCTCCGAGGAGACCCAAATGTAAATTCAGAGCGAGAAATTTCGGAAACACACGTCTGAAAAGGGGGGGGGGAGGACAACGAAACGGGGAGGACAGCATCCCGTTCGCGCCGCAGAGTTTGGTGAGCTGCTTTCGGGGGATATCGTGGCTTTTATTTTTTTCAACGCCCTTGTGTTTTCTCAGTTTTTTTTTTGTGGGTCTGACGTTGTGGCCCCCCACTTGCCGCAGTGATGGTGGGAGCTCTGAGCCCCGCTGGCCCCGGCCGCTCCCCGGTGACCGCGCTGGGGCTGCTGGTGGCCGTTCTGCTATCGGTCCTGTCCGGTGGAGCGGACGGACAGCCCTGCCCGGCACAGTGCTCCTGCACGGGGACTACAGTGGACTGTCACGGACAGGGGCTCCGCAGCGTGCCCAGGAACATACCCCGCAACACGGAGAGACTGTGAGTACCGAGTGGGAGGGGGGAGAGAGAGAAGCCTTAGCAGCGCAGTTCGGCTTCAATCTGCGCATAACATTCCCCAAACAATTTCAACACACTTAAGAGGAAAATATATTTTATTTGTCTGCCATATATAAAAAGTGTGCACTGACATTATACTCTTCTTATAGTCTATATTTAATAAAGCTGTGCCTCACCTGAAGGTTTTATGGTCATATACTGTTCCTATGTTTTTTTAAACCTAAATATTTTTTTCTGTCCTTTTAAACTGCATGCTGACGGTAGTGGGAGGAGTGTTTCCTTGGGGACCGCGTCTTAATAGCGCAGGGCTTTACATGAGAACTAACACGTTAAAAACTGCACCAGGATCTGTCAATTCAGCTCCATGCACGTGTTATTTTGTCACATAAACTGTAAAAAAAATAAGAAAAAATGAAAAATGACAAAAGAAAGAACACGTGAGTTCTGATTGCTGCGTGTTTGGATTCGTTATCGCCGAACCTCGGAGCTGAAGTTCGGGTGCGCCGCTGCATGTCGCGTCGGTGGTTTCGCACTGTTGCATTCACAGCTCAGCCTCCGAACCACGTCGGCTTGTCTGCAGACCCGAGCAAGTTAATCAAAAACGGATTTGGACAAGTGGGCTTTGAGTTAAACAGGCCCGCGTTTTATTAGCCGGAGACCCCTTGATGAAATGAGAATGTGTGCGTGGTGCAGCCTCCTCAATCTTCCTCTGACGCTCAAATGACAATCCACGCATCGTCCGCAGCACACCAAGTTAAAAAAACAACCTTCAGTTTGTTTCTTTGTCCTTGTTTTTTTTATTTTATATTTTATTATCATATCATGCAGCCTATACTCACAGTCCCTCTCTTTAACCTTTTCTCCTCCCAGGGATCTGAATGCAAACAACCTCACTAAAATCACAAAGGCGGATTTGGCAGGACTGAGGCATCTGCGAGTGTTGTAAGTGTGTTCTATATTTTATTTTTCTCCTTTCTTCTCTCTTCCTTTTTGCAGATGGAAAAGAAAAACAAAAAAAATTCACCTTGCAATTCAAACAACTCCCCCAACAACAACAACAACAACAACAAAAACCCACAACACACAGTTCCCAGTCCTGGTCAGACATCGTGGCTCATTCATTCAGCAGCCCTGGAGCTGCCGCATGCGGCACTGCGTCTAGAAGAAGCGGCGATTTCATTGAGTGTGTGTGTGTGTGTGTGTGTGTGTGTGTGTGTCCAAACAGAATACCGGCGGCACCTGTTAATGCTGTCGCGTTAATCTGCCAGTGGAAGTGTCAGGAGGGGTTATTTTAACCACCGGGCAAAGAGAGGGAAGGAGATAGCGGTCGTTAGGTGTAACCGCGGAGGGAGGAATGCATGCTGGATGGGAGGGAGGGTGCAAGGAAAGGAAAACGAAAGAGAGTCAAGTAAGAACAAGTTTCTCTCCTGGGATGAGTCCAGGTTAAGAGTGGAACAGGAATAGCGTGCTTTTATTGTGTTTGTGTGTGCATGCGCGTGCTATCCAGCTGCTATAAGTGAACGTTTGGAATATACATTTTTGGAATTCCTCCAGAGATTATGTCTTCGATTGCGCATGTGTTTGTGCGCGTGTGCGATACCAGTCTTCATGCTAGCCGTTTCCATGTGTTCCCTCGCCTCTGAATTTGCAATTTGAATTACAGCTGCAAAAATTCGTCAATGGAATTTTTTATTTTTTATTAGCAAGCATTGTCAAATTTCGGTCCTTAAAGTGCTAAATTCCAGTGTGTGCGTCCAGGGCTTTTATTGCGAAGGCTAGAACTGGAGGAGAGGAAAAGCGGAAATGGGCTTCTGTTGAATGTGTTTGAGAGGAATAAAGTTGGCGCCATCTTGGTGCAGACTACAGAGCCCCATGTTATTATTTTATTACCGTTATAAAGTACAGGCACAACTTAAGTCCTGGCTACTGTATTGTAATGCTACCATCTTTAAACAATACAATTACATTTAAATAAAACATATAATTCAACATAAAAACAGTACAGGAGCTGTGTGTTGTGATAAACCCTTTTAGCTCTGTTAGCACCGCTAGCTAACCGTGTGGAGGCAATATTTGCTCTTGAATTACTTTTTCAGCACCTTTAAAGCAAACAAAGCCACAAAAGCTTGGAAGTACTTTTTTGTCAGATATCCTCAGTCAGTGAAATATCTTTGGGTTTTGGCCTGTTAGTTGGTGAAAACAAGCATTTTGAAGGAGTCGCTTAGTGCATTGTAAAAGGTTGTCTTCAGTATATTTCAGTAATGAAATTAATTGTTAGCTGCAGCCCTAATGTCAATGTTGAAATTAGTTCTATCTGAGTGCCATGAGTGTACACCATACCGCCCATAAAATGTGTGTTTGTGTGTGTGGCTGCTTGGCTTGGTCAGCACAGTGCTCCTGGGGGAGTTGAGCTAGTGTAAGTGAATGAGTAGTCACAGCTATGTGGTTAGATGGAGGGTAAATTGGATGATAGATGAGTCGCCGTCCAACTGATGGGCCAGTTTTAGAGTCAATTCTGGGGCTCCCATCGACCCGCCGCTGATTGTCTCTCTCTGTTGCTGTTTCAACATTCTATCACTTTCCATCTCCACCAATCGTTTTTTCTTCTTTTTTTTTTATTCACACCCGCTGCCACATACCTCCTCCTCTCCCTCTCCTCTCCAATATCAATCTCTTTGCCTCCTCTCCCGTGTCCCACCTCACTCTCCTTCACCTTTCCCTCCTCCTCACTCGCTCTTATCTGTGGCACCATCTAGCCATCTTTCTCCTACTCTCTGGCCTCTCAAGGTGTCATCGCACAAATCACTCTGCCAGCTCAAGCACTCCTTTTTCTGTCCAGTGCTTATTGTCTCGCTCTGTCTCTCTTGTGTTTCTCTCTCAGGCAGCTAATGGAGAACAAAATCACCACGATTGAGAGAGGGGCCTTCCAGGACCTGAAGGAACTGGAGAGACTGTGAGTTACACTTTTGGATCGAAGCTGCCACCACTTTCTCCCTGAACACCTGTTTCTTTTGAAAATACTTGAGGATGCTTGCGCTTGGAAACTGAAGCGTACCAAGCAGATACATGTTTATTTTTTACATATGTGGAAATGCACATATAAACATAGGTGACAGATGAAAGAAAAAACATACAAAAAGGGTACACGAGGCACCAGAACAACTTCAATACTCGTCATCGTAGATTCGACAAGTGTGTGAAGCTCTTCTGGAAGGATGATCATTGTTCCTAAAGATGTTCCCTCATTCGCTGTTTTGGTTATGGTGGTGGTGTTTCATGTCAAACCGCAACACCGAGGATTGTGCTTTGAATACATGGTGAATGGTGGGATTGTGGAAACATGTCATCAACTTGTGTCATCCATCTGCTGCTCTTTTAAAATGTGGCAAAAAAAAAAGCTGGCACTGTTTTATTTTTTATTTCAATAGAGCTCACAATGTTTCGTCAGCCAGTGTGTTCTGAATCATTTCATGGACTTTGATTTCACCCGTTTGGTTTGTAGACGTGGGTTGTAGCTGTCGGTCTGAATTCGGTCCTGAGTTTCTGACACTACCACAGTTTTGACGCCGGATCATCAAAGCTGGAAATCAGTGGGCTTGTCAGATTGCGCAATCTAGTACCAATGTCTTGGACTGACGACCAAAGATTTCGCCGTGTTCTATTTTAGTAGTTTTGGCCTGGGGCAGTCTCTTAAAGGTGTTTGAGACCAATTTTCTCCAGGAAGAGTGCCCTGGCTTTTTACGAAAATTTTACATAGTGGCCAAACGGTGGAATTACAATGTCCCGGGTCCTTCATGGGGCCCAAAAATACTTTGTTTGGTAGACTTGCATTGGGAAAGAGACATCTGTAACTCAGCTGATCTTTTTTTTTTTTAGGTAAATCAACTTCCCAGTACAAACACTAATATTTTCATCTGAATTCTATACCCGGAAACCAAACTTTATTTGCTTAATGCGCCACTGAGCAACTTTTATAGGAATTAAGGAGTCCCCTCCTCCGACACTGTATCCAATTCTCTTTATACATCAATGGTCTTGACCTGGTGGCGTTTTAGCCCCTCCCCCCCATCTGTGTGTCTTCATAAATGTTTAACCTGACCGTCATGATGTGCGGCTGCCAACGTCTAACTCAAAGAGGGAAGTTTTGCAATCGAGTCACGGTGCAGTGGCTGAGTGAACAGCCAGAGGTTGTTATGGCGTTGGCCCGGGGAATCACTGGCATTCAGCATCCGACCCTGAGGCAGTTATGGCATAATTAAGTCTTGGTAGTGTGTGAGAGAGTGAGACAGACGGGGGGGATGCGGACCCCTGACTGCTGATATGTCCATTGTGTCGGCTGTCAACTTTGCTTGATGTGCGAGCCGTTTCGTATACGTGGGTGTTTGTGTGATATGCGGCCCAACTGCCAGCCAATGACACACTGGAATGCAGCAGGCTGTGACCGAGTCTGAGGAGGCTCAGAGACAAGCTTTTAATTAAAGGCACATAAAAAAAATAAAAAATCTGCGCCGCTCACACACAGGTTTACAAAAACACAGACATCACCTTAATACACATAGCGATATCCACCTGAACACAGACGCACATGCAGCACTAAATCAAACGAAGGTTAGTTCATCGATAGCTGTTTTGGGTGAATTCTTCAGGAGAGGCCGGGATAAAATAGGACGAAGTGTCACGATCCCCCCGGCTGCTCTAGTCTTGGGCATGTCGTGCCTGGTTTCCTCTCCGCTCTCCGCTGCCCTGCGGCTGCTCTTTGTTGACAAAGCGAGAGCTGCTCTATATGAACGGCTATAAGGAATCTGCTACTCATGCGACCGATGCTGGGTTCTGTCCAGATAAGCACGTCTGGGAATTCCTGCCCTGAGCTGCACACAAAGGGGGCAATACTTCACTGTTTCACTGCGTATAACAGTCAACTCTTTTAGCGATTTCCCTCCGTGCAAAGAGATGGTGCACTCTGGTGAGTGTAGAATCTCATGTGAGCACAGGAACACACACTTGCACATACAATGTAGACTGTACGCTGTAAACACCGGGAGCAGATAAAGTTTCCATCTTGAATCTGATGGCAACAAACGCCTCTGACAAGCAGCTAACTTTCCGACACAACGTGGCTCGCGAGGGGCTTTCAACTCTTAATTCAGCATCTCTGGCGTGGCATGTTCACAAACACAAAGGTGGGGACGGAGTCATCAATGCCCCCCCCCCCGCAGGCACCGGACAATGGCACGTCTCCGGAGTCTGGAGTCTTGGGGGGCTCATTTCAAAGGCCTCCGTTCTCTGGGGGTCTGGAGGGGCGCCTGCTGGGCACCGCTGCCCGGAGGAGAGTGCCCTAAGCTGGCCTGACGGATCCGCAGTGACTGCCCCCCACGGTGGTGGAGAACGGTTCCTCTTCTCACCCCCTTTTTTTTTTGCGACAGGCCCTGCAGGGCTGGGCCGGTTGGGGTCAGGTGTGGGGCAATGGCTGTGGGGGGTAGGGGTGGAGATAGGCATGTCACAACACACGTATGGGTATGGACACACTCGTGCATGCGCATTAACTTGCGCAAGGCTGCTCTGTCAGTACAGGTTCTTATCTTCACCCCCCCGCCCCCTTACAGCCACTCACACTTCATTCATGCTTTCACCTCTCCTCTTGTTTTTCTCCCGTACCCACCCATCTTGTTCTCTCTCTTTCTCTATTGTCCCGCGCCGATAGGAATGTCATACATTCCTCCCTCTCTCTCCCTGTAGATGATGAAGAATAGAAACTTCCTGATCCTCTTATCCTCCTCTCACAGGTTTATAGTCCCCCTATCCAATTCAAAGCCCGCGAGATCGGAGAGGATATTAGCCACACAGATGCAAAGAGAAAGGAAACAGTAATTACAGGTATTGAGACTCTGTGGTGAGATAAAGCCTCAGATGATTAGCCTGTAATTGAGTGATGGCACCATCACAGATTATTTCAGTGGCGATGAATAGCTGTGTACAGGTAGAAAGACGTGTCTGTCAACGGCGATCACAAACGAGATAATTAAACCTCAAGCTAATTATCGAGTTGTAATATTTAGACAATGTGACTATCAGGAGATAATCGCAACAGCGAGGCTGGAAAGCAGGATATGGATTTCAAAGTAAAGTGCTGGATAAGCGATAAATTATGTGTATAAACGTTTTTAATTATTATTTTTATTGAGTGACTGAGCTTGAAATCATCTGCCCGCAAAACATTTTAACTACTACAACTGTTCTGTCAAAAAAAAAAGGTAATTTCTGATCGATGTTTTGCTGAGGGTCCCTGCAGCTGTCAACTTGTGTTCTATCTGTCGGTAAACAGTTGCTCGAATGCTCAAAAGTTCAGGGAAAAAGCTCTTCAACGGCGCTGAATGTGATCGATTTTTGGATTTCATTGCTGTGTGTTTAGGCCAGTTACGGTGTCTGTCACTAAATAACAGATATCAGATTGGAGCGTGTGAAACTCTGGTGGATGGTGGTTCACTGCACCAGCTGTGGAACAAATACACAAACCGTTGCAGTAGATACACACTCACAGTGGTCAGTTTGAAGCGGTTTTCTTTGGAATAGAGACGGTTTCTCTGGGTCACGGAAATGTCCACAAGGTTTGGGATATAACTATGATAACAGTACTGTGTGTGTGTGTGTGTGTGTGTGGTGTAAAATGTGTATTATGGAAGCAGTGGCATCGCTGGAGTAATAATTGGATTCTGAGGTGGTTTGTTATTTCCTTCCCTGCCAGCCTGCAAACCTGTAGTACCACACATCTACAAGGCCGTGAGGTGTTAGGAGTGTGTGTGTGTTTCTGTATTTTATGTTTGTGTGGCTATGCATGTGTGTGTGTGTGTGTTTACTGTGTGGTTTGCGGCCCTCCAGCATCTGTTTATGATTGCAGGGATTATCACCACGCTGCAGTGTGACATTAGCTCGTTGGATCGACTCTCACACCTCAGACTACTGGCGACTCAGTCTTCATTCACTTTCAGCCAGACTCTGACTAATGAATCACGACTGTGGGAGTGCTCTGAGGGTGTTTATGGGCACACACACACACACACACACACACACACACACACACACACACATACACCCACACACACACACACAGAATGATGCATTCCTTCAGGTCCATGAAACAAACCACTATATATCACTATTGACGACTAGATTGTTTGAGTCAGAGGCAGTCGGTACTTTTAGATGGACATTAGAGGTTTTTAGCACAGATCCTTAACACCGAACCTTCAAGCCGAACTGACTGTGCTGAGTCACCATCTTGTTCATGTTATAGGGACCTAAGTTTACACAAGCTGTTTGATATTTGAGTTACTCATGAAGTTACTCATAACAATGATGCCAGATATTTGATATATATTTCAAATAAACGTTTGGGGCAGATCTTGTCTGTGCGGTAGTCAATGACGAAAATAAATCCACAACAATTTTGATATTAAATAAAAACTTCAAAATGTATCATGAAATAGTATCAAAACAATGGTTCCACTTCTTCAACTGTGAGAATGTGCTGCTTTTTCTTCTATGTCAATGTAAATTCAACATCTTATGTTTTTAACTGTTTGACAGACGTCATCTTGGGCTCTTGGGCTTTTTTTCGAGCTGGTTTATTAAGTGGAGTGGCTGAAGGAGTGACCTCATTAGACTTGAGCTGTATCATCTGCAGAGGTTGTTGTGACATCATGAATGAGGGCTGTGCAGTACGGCAAAAATCTTCTATCCAGATATAAGTCATTTCATATCTCGATAAGGACATGTATCAAGATACAGCATGCTTTCTGGTAAATACCTTACAAATGAAAAGTACTGAGTATTTTCTCATTTAACTAAGAATGTCAGTGCAAAATGTGAAATGAGAAATTTGAGTCGGTATGCTTGTTATTAGCAATGTAGACGATATGATTCGATTGAAAGACAATCAACTTATCCTCCATATAACGGTTCGTACGACATCTTACAAAAAGGTTAATCCTCATTTTTCGTGGGTTTTCTTACGATATCCAGCAATTCGTGTCAATTTACGCTCGTTACAAGCATACGGTATTTTCAAAATAAACTTCCGTCTTCACAGCTTAGTTAAGTTTAGGAATCACTTTTTGTTTGACCCCTCCACCGCCCCTATCACCGGCCCCGTGTGGGTCCCTGTACTTCATTCGCTCGCGATTAGATTCATAACATACAAAATGATTTTGTGGGAATTTCTAAGAATTACGGCGCATTATTTTTTCGAATGTAGGCTATATCTTTGACTGTTGGACAAAAACAGAATGTGACTCATCGCCCAGCCCTAACATGAATGCTTCATTATCATTCAAATTAAAGCACAAAAATAATTGCTAATTGCCTCATTGAGTGCGTGAAGTCTAATTCATAAAATGATGAATCAGTCATCGATTTTATGAATTAGCCTTCGAGCACTCAATGAAGCAATTAGCAATTATTTTTGTGCTTTAATTTGCAAATGCGGCCCAAAGGAGGCGGAGTGAACAAGTTACGCTTTCTTCTCTAAGGGATAACGAAGCATCGATGACTGATTCATCTGCCTCACGTTACTTTTATGACTCTAAATTAAGCCGGCCATGGTGGTTAAGGTGTTAACATATAATGAAATAATCACACAGTTCTGAGAAACATTATGAATAAATGTGCGACACCTTAGTGGAACCAGACTGATTCTGGTCCTTCACTATCTTTACTTCATTCGCTCAGTCTCCTAGTCTGACAGCATTGCATCTATTTTAAGAGAATGAGCTCATACCCCCCCCCCCCCCACCTCCCCTCCGTCCTGATCCCTCCTCCCCACCTCCAGCATCAGTCCGTGCACTCACCCAGGGGAGGTCTTGCCCACTAACGGGGCGCTCACGGCTGGGCAGGGCCCGCAGGAGGAGTGCGCCTCTCCACGGGACCACGTGGGGCTCTTAGCCGCCAGAGCCGGCGTTAAGGGAAGAGCGGTGAATAATTCAGGAACACCGTTCTGCGGGACGTTAAATATTTAAGCAGCCTCTGATGTAACCGCGGAGTGCGAATTGGCGCGCGCGAGCACGTTTGTGCACTTTGTGGGTGGAACATGGGGACAGAGGGGCTGACGTTATCAGTCCTCACCTAGTGAAGCAGGAAGAGGTGAAAGACGAAGGTTAGGCCATTGAGAGACTTGAAGAGAGGTTTTGAATGGAGTTCTGTGTTTGAGTAAAGTCCGTGGTGTTTCTTGAATCTGTGTGTTCCTGTGTGTAAATGTGTGTACTGTCAGTGGCTTTTCTTATTAGTTTGAAGTCACTCCTTCATCCGGCCTCCATCCTTCATTTTATCCTTTCCTCTTGTCATTCTCCTCCAGTAGCAGCCGGCTCGGCATACGTCGCCGGGCCTGTCAATGTGTGTGTGTGTGTGTGTGTGTGTGTGTCAGGGTTAAACTGTTTCAGCAGTGTGTCGCTCATTGTGTCACTCCTCTGACTCACATTAAGGCACAACCACACGCACACACACTCACACACACACACATATGCACACACGCAAACCTCTTCAATCCACTCAACCAGGGTTAAATGATCGCACCCAGACTATTAAACTCAACTCTTCTGTGTGTGTGCGCGTGTGTGTGTGTGTGTGTGTGTGTGTGTGGGGGGGGGGTGCGTGATGACGGGTTGTTGTGAGTTCTTCCCCTGTGAGGGCCTTGTTTACTCAGTGGGGTCCTTTTCACACATTCGGTAGCCCGGCCAGACTGCCTGTTTGTTTTTCCCACATCATCTCCTCTCCTTCGCCTTTGTGGTAAAAAAAGAGAAAGAAAAAAGCCCCCCCCCCCCCCCCCCCCCCCCCCCCACACAACCCCTTCCCTCGTCTTCTCCCCCCCCTCGCCTTCCCTTAGTCCTTCTCGAGTTCACTGTTTGTCTGGCATCCATGTTGCACCTCTTAAATCAGGGCTAAACCCGGAGTCTGTTTTTTTGCGTATCCGTCCATGAACATGTTTTTAATGTCTCCATCAATCTCCTCGCTCCTTGCCTGCCTCCTCTAACTATTGTTACAATCAAAACACATACAACCTAATTTGATATGATGCTCAGGAAACACAAATCTCACCTTAAAAAGCTAATCATACGCACATGTAACCGCTTCGCCCACACTGTCTGGAAGTGGATACGGAGAGTTTATTCCCCTAATTTATGCTGTGTTTTTCCAGGCGCCTGAATCGGAATAATCTGGCCGTCTTCCCCGAGCTGCTTTTCCTGGGAACGACAAAGCTTTACAGACTGTAAGTGCTGTTTTTTTATTTCTCTCTCTCTCTCTCTCTATCCATCACTCTGCATTGTTAACTGAAATATTGTTCATTTTCCTCACGGGCCTGAGATCGTACAGATGAATTGTTGCGATGGTGCGTTTGTGTGCATCCCCCACAAGCTCGTGCAGGTCACAGACGTATGTTATATACATACTGATATATGTGACGGACGTTGTAAACCACAGCAGAAAATATCCTGTTTTCTCGGTGACGCAGCCGCGTGGTCTCACTCTGGCTGAAGGAGCGAGGGAGACGATTTTACGTGGCCCTCTCCATAGAAGCCAGTTCAGTAGCTGATGGAGATTAGCACTCCAACAGCTGCTGCCCACTGGGAGAGACATGTGTGTGTGTGTGTGTGTGTGTGTGTGTGTGTGTGTGCGGATGGAGAGGAGAAAGTGAGCATGCCGGATCAAGGGAGACATAAGCAGCGAAACACAGAAACAGGTTTCTCTCCTGAAGTTACACTTCGCAGGCGGTTTCAGTTACAGAACATAAAACGTTCCAGTTTGCCTCCAAACCGGTGAACCGCCGCTTGTTGCCGTCGAGCCCCATCCTCGCTCTCAGGCCGAGCATCTGCACTGTAAACCGAGCTGTGGATTTCCAGCAGCGTCGGGCCGGGCGGCAGCGTTGCTAAAGACTGTGGGAAATGCCTTCCCGTCACGGCCGTTTGTGGTCCTGGGGAATAATTATGGTCACATATATTTATACGTGTGGCTGAATATATTTATCTGAAACAATATTGAAATGCTCAGATGATTCAGAGAGTGTGTGAAAGTTGTTTATGTTCTGCGGCCTCTACGGCGGTTGGCTGGGACTCGACCTGTCGTGTCTGAGGGCGTGCGTCTGTTTTTCTGCGTGTGTGTGTGTGAGTTTCTCAAGGCCAAGAGTTGGCATATTGCTCAGCGTGTGGGCCGAGGTAAAAATACAACTGGGATATAATGCTCTCTGCTCAGCTGTCGCAGACAAGCGGCCTCTCTCTGTGTGTGTTTCGGGTCCCTCATCTGCTGCACGTCTTCACCGAACACAGACACTTCATTCAGCATAACAGCATTCATTATGTTGTGTTAGAATTGTTGTTGTTTTTTACACAGCCAAATATAGTACGATATAAATCAACTGTAGGCAGAGAAAGAAAGAAAACTCAAGAGAAAGTTGCTAAATGACAATCAGGAAAAAAAAAACTTGCCAAGCTGGCGCCGTTGCAGCCACAAAAGCTCCGAGCAGATCAGTCAGACGTACAGGAGTCATTCAGAATGAACGGCAACCACGGAGGCTTAGCCAACAATATTTGTGGTCAATATTCTTATGTCTACTTCTACACCCCCGACAGTGTATTTTTATTTTGAGAAAACACAACAAGAAACCCTTGAGAACCTCCGAAGTGGAATCTTGTTAGGTTTGACATCGAGGTCAGAAAGTATGTGCGAAACCGGACCCACTTTGGTTCTTGCGACAGTACTGCTATAAATGAACATTTGGTCAACCTGCTATTATGAAAATGATGTTTTCACTCTTTTGGGGCTTTGGAAAAATCTGTGTGTGTGAGTGTGAATGCGTGCTGGATTCTTTAACCTTTGCTCAGCACCGTGGTTTCGGGTTTTGAGGGCTGAATTAAACTGAGGTCAGGTGTGAGATATGCCATTATTTCTGCCTCGATTATGTCAATTATGTCAACATTTGTTTTTTTACAAGTGTGACATACTTACTGACCTGGGTTTGCATCCTCTATGACATTTGGTGTTTGGTAAAGTCAACTGAAACACAATTCGATTTTAATAGTCGATATATTTTGATAATAACTATCGCGATATTATTTAAAACGATAAAGTATCGATATGTCCCCGTTTTAAACAGATTTAAAATGTCCTTTAAATTGCCTCGAATCCCTGTGTGTGTGTCAAACAGCCTCCTCCTCCGCTCCTGGAACACTAGATGTTGCCTATTTCCTTCTAATGTGCCAGCGACCTCCCGGCCTGTCACATGATTTGGCCAAAATCACAACATGGCGTGTCACAAGCAAGCGGCCGTATACTATAGGGCCGTGGATACTATGTGCCCAGGATTTATGAAGAGGATTACGAAACGTATCAAAACATTGCTCCCCCTGCAGAGAGAGAGAGTAGCCCCATCGTGTGATGTTAGACGACTAGACCACCGAGTCGATTATTATGACCACGTCACACCACATCACGGCACAACGGCACGAGAGTCGTACAGGCTGGGAAATGTCAGTTACTGAGAACTCAACCTGTAGGATTGGGACATAAATGGGAAGAACCCAGACACTTTACTTAATGCACTTTATTTCATATGATGTTTATGACATCTACATGCAAGTTAAGAGTGGTCAGTAAAACAATGAGAAAAGAATACAGTATGTATTTTTATTTTCAAATGTGCATTTTATTAAAGAAGTGTTCAGTGCCACAATGAGAATACAATATGCACTTTATTTTCATATCATTTTTTATGGCAAGTGATTTTCAGTTCAGTGTGTTCTCTGCTGAGTGACTATATGCAATGCAAATACCCTCTGAAGTAGTTTTGATGCAATTTGTCCGCTGAGTTATCAATACGATGAGAAGATATTAGGTTTGGGGGTCCTCCCCAAGAAAATGTGAAGGTTTTTGACTTAAAAATATGCAATTTCACAAATGAATTATTATAACACCCAAAACTTATTTTATTATTTTCACATATCACAGGCTTCTTCAGGACATTTAATTCCTCTGTAATTTACAATATAATAATATTTATATTATTATTTATTTCATACGATGCAAAGATACCAGGAAGAGAAACAAGTGCAGCACAATCAGTGATTCCAGATTCAATTCTTACACTTCTATCGTGAAGCTCCTTTTATTATTTTATTATTCAGTACGACACGATTGTTTTCCATCTCTATGCAGATGACACGCTGTCGACGGTGAACACATTTATTTGTGTAGAGTTTCTTCTCCTCTTTTTTTCATTTCCCCGCCAACTCTCTCTCTCTCTCTCTCTCTCTCTCTCTCTCTCTCTCTCTCTCTCTTCCCTCTTTGCTGGACAGAAATCAGTAGAGAGATGAAAGAGGGAGAGATGAAAGAGGGGGTTGATGAAGGGATGGGGTGATGGGAGGATAAGAGAATGGGTCACTGCTTCCACAGCTGAACAGTCGGGTTATGCCTGAGTATGAGGCTAGATTGATGGGACAGTGTTTGTGTGTATTTAATGTGCGCTATTACGGCGCTCGGCCTCTTCTGGCAAACGTCCCTCGGCAACAGTTTTTCCCAGTTACTCGGTCACCGCGTGTCTCTCTGTGTTTTGTGTCGAGTCGAGGCCGTTAATTAAAACTTTGGCTTTTTGTTTATTTGCTTGAGCGTCGAAGAAGTGAGAGATAGAGGAAAAGAAATTGAAGGAAAGTGAGTTGTGCCTCTGTCCTTCATCCTTCCTCTGACGGAGAGTCAATATGGACAAGCTGATTGAGAGGAGGAAAATGCAGACATTAAACCGGAGTTAAAGCGGCCTGGGGTTTGAATTGATGAGTTGATGAGGCTCCGATTTTGTGCGTGCGTGTTTATGTGTGTAATAGTCCCTAATCCTCTGCTAAATGGTGCCCTGATGAGGCTTTACCAGGCAGCATTGTTGCTTAGCAGCCTCGAAGGTTGTGGCTTTGTCTTCGGTGAGAGCTTAACCCTGACACACACACACACACACGCACGCACGCACGCACGTACCACCTCGGCCGAGGCGACAGGCTCCGCACAATGGTCACAAGAGCACAGGCGTCTTTCAGAAGATGTGGGCTTTCCCAGCGTGTCGACAGTTAGCCGACACGGAGGGAGGAGGATGAGGAGGACGAGGAGGAGGAAGAGGAAGAGGAAGAGAGGGGGTCAAAGGTGGAAGAGATGAACATTTCTTCTCTGAGCAAATCATGCTTTTTTAAATTAAGACAGAGCGCGTTGGGCGATTTTAGTTGCCACAGTGACGACGACTTCTGGGCCCTCCCAGAGGTCAAAAGGTGAAGAATGTTCCAGTCAGGAGATCTAAGCAGGAGGTGATTTATATGTAGAAGTGAGGGGGGGGTCCTCCCACTCATTAACAGAAATCATGACAAATGAAACTTGTAACAGCCGTGGATCCTCCAAAGGCGGGGAATGTTTTATATTCTAGGATCAAACTTGTAGCATTTAGAACTTTACTGTGAGACCAACGTGATCGACCACATTCTACGAACAACAACTAAATGTGACAAGGATTATGTATTGAATACATAAAAGTCGTCCAATCACATATTGCTAACCAAGTTTGGAGTGAAGTCATTTCATTGTTTACCATAATGGAGAGGCACATTTTGGGAGAAGACCTAATGAAGTTATGCGTATATTCTGCTGCGAGGATCGTGTTCTGTGGCAGATTTATTGTAGTGAAAATAGACCTGTGTTCAGAGTCGATAGTGTTCATACAAAGTGCAGGACTTTGACTCTAGAGATCGGGGGGTTCGGTGGTTAGGTGTAGGCAACAAAATTCACTTTGGTTAAGGTTAGTGAAAGATGAATTATGGAAAGGATCGTCTAAATGTCAGTAAACACATCCTGTACTAGTACTGTTATATATGTGAACTGGGCATATGACTCATTTAAGAAAACAAATAAGATATGTTGTCAGTGAATATTTTCCAGATGCATGAGGTATGAACATGTTGCAACCTTGCGGATACACTGATTTCATGTAGGTATGTTGTGGTGTATGATGTAGCCTATTTTTGCACATATGTATTTATGTGAGGCTCTGTACAGACTGGCAACAAAGTCTCTTGGAAAAGGACAAAAAATTCCAGAAAACCATTTTCCCCTATACGTCTTTTTAGCACATAAAAGTTAGAATAATTTTCACTTTTTAGCACCAGGTGTGGCGTCGCGCGGCTCGTCAATGTCACACTTGCCCCAGACAGCCAATCAAATCAAGCAAGAGGCTAGATTTACTACTTT